AGCTTGGGACTGGGCCCTTCCCCAGCCAACCTGGGAGGGAGCGACTCCAGCCTCAGCTGATAGTTTCCTTACGTCCTTGAAAAACCCTGAGACAGAGCACAGAGGTGAGCTGCTCAAAGATTTCGGCCCAGAACAATGATGAAATAAGAAATATTATTCTCCTAAATGGCTACATTCTAGATACCTTGCTACATAGTGACAAATGGATGACTAACATAGCATGCGAATAGCCTAAACACAGGACGTATAAAAGCTTAGTATCTGCTGGTACAACACTGGATAGCAGATGTAGGTTTATGTTCTCCTCTACACATGGTAGCTATCACTGATTGCAAATTTCTTTTCAACAGTGTTTATTTTAACTGATAAATGAAAACAGTACATTTTTGTCATGTATATTATGCTGTTTTGAAATGTGTATACATTTTGGAAGGACTCAGTGAGGTTAATTAACACATGCATTGTCTTACTGTAATTTTTTGAGTGAGAATGCTTCAAATTTACTATTAATACATTGTTAACTACAGTCAATGCATTGTACAATAGATCTTTTGATCTCAGTCTTTCTGTAACTGAACATTATATCTTTTGACCAACACCCCCCAAACCCCTACAGCCCCAGATCCTAGTAACCATCATTCTATGCTCTGCTTCTGTGAGTTCACCAGTAGTTTCCATATCTAAGAGAACATATGGTATTATTTTTCTGCTCCTAGCTTATTGCAAGTGACATAATGTCTCTATAAATGACAGAATGTTCTTTTTAAAAGACAATTAATACTCCATCTCTCTCTCTCACAAACACACACCCCCCCACCCCACCCCACCCCCACACGTACCCTGTTTTCTTTGCCCACTTATCTGGCGATGGATATTTAGGTTGATTCCTTATCTTGGTAATTGTGAATAATGTTGCAGTGGACATTGGGGTGCAGATCACTCTGACACTTGGACACATTTCCTTTGGCTATATCCTGAGGAAGGGGATTACTGTATTATGCAGTGGTCCTATTTTTAATTTTTTGAGGAACTTGGCTGGGGTTATCCATAATGGCTCTACTAATTACCTTCCTACCAACTGTGTTCAAGGCTTTTTACATCTTTGCCAGCACTTATCTTTTGTATTTTTGATAACAGTCGCTCTAATATGTAGGGCTATTTCATTGTGGTTCTAATTTGCATTTCTAGGCTCAGAATCCCTGTTAACATAGAGCTTTAGAAAAGCTATCATTGCTCGTATGAAATTTAATTACCACCTACCATTTAATCAATATGTCTTATCTTTTCATTCATCTTCAAGTGCAATTTCCTCTAACAGGTTAACATATCTTTCTTCCATGGTAAGAGAGATGAATGTAACCTATTAGGACAAATCTGTGAAAGTACATGGTATAAGAATGGGCGACTCCCTATGTTATCCTGGGACTAGATTGTGCTCTAGGAAAGGGTGAGCCAGAGCCTGAGTGTATTGGATACCTGAAGAGAAAGAAGAGCCACATCCAGAAAAGAGACTGGCAGCACCAAAGTTTGGTTTATCCCATTCCTCATTTGTACTGTGATCGGGCCATTTTGAATAAATTCAATTTTGAGCAAAGTAATGAAAAGGAAACTGCTATAAAAGCAATGAAGTTTTCTAAAGAGTAAGTAAGTCAATGTTTTTAAATAGAAAGCATTCCCTTCAAATCCATACAAAAGGCTTTCTTTGTCTAATTCAATAATGGTGGGAGCTACTGAAATAACACATTTTTATTTAATATTGCTCTTTTTTTGCAATATGCTTCATTTTGTCAGTTAAAGCAGAGACATATTTTGGATATAAGAAGATATCAGAATGAATGATCCCAAGGAACTGTCATTTAGAACCTATAACATACTAACCAAATACCCAATGGTTTTAAGAAAATGTATATTGCGGCTCTTAGGTCAGTCTCAGGCGGGTCCTGAGTTCTGTGTTTTTAAGGAGCTACCAGGGGATACTGATGCTGTTGTCCAGCTCACTTGAATTGTCATCATCAATCTCACTTCCTTTTTGGGGTTGTAAGAAAGATTTCAAAGTCAATGCTGCTTCAAGCCCAGGAGCCCCTGGAACAGTCCAGCTGGGGTGGGTTGAGGGATGAGTGAGTTAAAAAGCTTTAAAATCACTCTAAATGGTCAGGGAAGAATTACAGGAATTCAAAAAAAACACCTTAGATAAAATCCTGATTTCTAGAATAAGAAACAGGTTTGGAAATAGAAAAGGTAAATAAATATCTTCAATGGAAAGAGATAAAAAAAAAAACCCTCTTATTTATCCAGTGTGTTTTATAGCAAGACAAACTGGCACAACACTACAGAACCTGTCCGTGGATGGATTAAAATTGATAGAATTTAGAATAAAGTCACATTTCTACGTATAACCTGCCTTTAGCTTTCATAGACTCTCAGGGCCTCATGTTGTTTAGACAGCAAAGTAAAATTTTAAGATAGATAAAGAAGATACTGAGGATTGGGTAAGAGGATTAGGAAGAGAATAGAATCCTTAGAAACTCCACTCTTTAGGAACTTCTAAATCTCCTTCCTTCATGAAGATTGTCTACATAATTTATTCAATTTTTTAACCCCCAATATATACACATTGGAATGTAAGTATGTTCGGCACTCACTATATATTGATGAACAAAAACAGCCACCAAAACCAGAATTTGCTCCCTGCAACAGTGAATTTACAGTCTAGGTAAAGGACAAACAGACAATACTTTAACACATATCGACTGCCTGTGTTAACCTTTCTTCCTGGAGGAGCCCGAGGCCTCACGGGCAGATTCAGGGCACCCAGAAGAGGCCTGCCCTCTGCTTGTCCACAGGCAGTGGTGAGACTTCAGCCCGTGATGGCCCTCCTGTATACACAGTGTGCAACCTCACTGACCTGGTTGTCATGCTTCCAGAAACTGATTAAGGACTTTGCCATAAGTGTGGAGAAGGACCTCTGTGCACAAGAAGGTTTTGGTATAATTTAAAATAGTAATAATATACCTACAGAAATACCCTTTAGGAGGGATTGAATAAATAAATTGCCATTCATTCCTGAGATGCAATACTAATCAGCAGTAAAAACATAATATACACTCACACTGCATTGTCACACTGCAGTGAAAGGCTGTCTGTAATGTACTGACAGCCTTTTTTAGATTAAAAAGAGGTTGTGAGTTAGTTTGTACAAAAGAAACGGCCTCAGGTAGAACTGCATGTCTCTATGAGTTTGTGTGATTACGCATATTATAAATCTTTGTTACATACAGATACACACATGTACTTTTAGATGTAATTCATTATATAACTCCAGTATCCACATGTATATATTGTGTCCCAGTCATCACTGATATTAACTATTGAACTTAAGATGAAAAATATAAAAGTTTAATATTGCACCTCCTCCACATAGCTACCTGCAAACGTAGCTGAGAGTGTCAAGGCCCAATTCAGGGGTTGTGGATATTTGAGTCAGATCACTAAGAGAGATTTGAAAGGCAGGAACATTTTTTTGCACCAGTTAAATCACTTCCTATAATTCTCAAAATAGGTGTCCTGCTCACAGGTGACTTACAAAGCTGAGTGGAGACATCATGAGGAAATGTTTGTTTTTTTTCCCGGTACCGGGAATCGAACTCACAACTTGTGCTTGCCAGGCAGGTGCTGTGCCGCTGAGCTAAATCCCCAGCCCCTAATGTTATCTGTCTTTGGTTGCCCAAAACAACTGCCTTATCTGCTTGCGAGGGGCTCAGTTAATGCATGGAAGAATAAATTTCAGAGTGGTTTTAATGGAATGAACTCCTACAGGTAATTTTTTGGCATCTACTCAAATCCTTTAGCTAAGAGAACTAATATTTAACTTTTCTTTTCCTGTTGACTTCCTTCAGACAGGTGGAAGGTTTTATTAAGCACGCAATATCTGTGGAGTTGTGCATGCCTTTGTGAAGATCCCATTCAGATTAGAAATTCAAATTAGCAATGCATATTTAATGCTGCTTTGTAGTTGTTTTTCTTTAAGTTGGCTGCAATGTTTACTCTTTGAGGGGGAGTTTATAATTATGCAAATTGGAGAAACAGTCTGCATACGCTGTAATGATAATGCCTTGGGTTTTATATCCAGAGTTGAAAGTATTTCTATGGACAGTATTTCTTTAATCTTACCCATGACTTCAGGGGAGGTTAGCCAGGGGTGGGAGCCTACTTTTTCGTGATGGAGCATATGAGATTTTGGAATTTAACTGCATTTTAGAGGAAGCCTTGCTGAGATTTGCATAATGTCACTGTATAGCATACACTATTGATTACCTTCACAATAAATATTTATCTTTTTTTTCCCTTTTAACAAGTCTAATTTTGTCCACACGGTCACTTTCTCACATGCAACCATGTTTGTTAAGGGATACAGGTCTCATCCCTGTTCTTAGTGAGAGTCTAACGATCTGTATGGTCACGGTAGGTTAGGGCTAGGGTCCCATATACAGTATTTTGCTATAAGGGTATGGGACACATTTTGGCAAATGTATGTGAGCAGAAGTTTGCTGAGGGACTCCGTAGAAAATGAGAGGGGTTGGAGAGGTCCTTCCAAAAATGTCAGAATTCAAGTCTTGGTGACATTATTGACCTACTCAATAACCATCCACGGATCTGTCCTACCTTAGCACTGCTTGTTACGAGAGTGAACAACTTTCTAAAAATTAATTTTAAGCCACTTTTGTTCATTTTCTGTTTCTTGCAGCCAAGAACACATTTTAAGTGATATACACCTTAACAGTTCCTATATTGTGTTGGAGAATATATGTACATATGATATAATATATCATATATATATGCTGTAATAGAGAAAAAAATAATCTGGACACTTGGCATCTTATTTATGAGTGAAGTCAGTTGATATTTACTTAGAGTGCAGGAAGGAATTATAGTTTAATATCTCGGCAGTGGTGAGGAGTCCATATCCTACAACTGATTGAGGAACAAGAAATACTACTCACCATTCACAATCTTGTTTCATTGGAATCAGAGTTACCAATCAGTCTTGACCCTCCTGTTAATGCAGGCCTGAAAGATAAAAGAGAGACAATAAATATTAAGTATAGAATCTCACTTTGGCATCAGGCAGAAATTAAGTATTTTTCCCCTTCCATCCCAGCTGATGACTCCAGCTTTAAATAAACTTCATAAGCCAGGCTGGACATTTTCCCAGGAAGCTGTTTAGATAGGAATAGTTTATTCTAACCAGGGAATCAGGTCTACTATTTTATCTGCCACAACCCAGCATACAAATTATGTTCCCTTGAGCCCTAAAATGAATGCCTCATTGCTCCATGGAATGCAGATTTATCTGGTCATTCAGTATATTTCATCTTCTTTGCCACATTGGCTGGATTGGGTATGGGCCTGGGACTAGAGTCGGACCAATAAAAGTCAGCCTTGAAAATGTAGGGAAAGAGAAGATCTCTTTCTACCACATGGCACGGTGAGGGAGACTTCCTGGAAGTTGCTAGCAGCCAACAGTGGTAGGGTAAGAGTGAGGAGGGTCAAGACTGTGGTTCTGAGTGAAATATCCCCACTCCTGACACTACTCAGGCCTCTAAATTCACCTATGATTAAAATGCTTTAACTTTTCAGTAGTGTGAATCAACATATACCTTTTTACTTAAGTTATTTATTTTTTCTTAAACCTGTTGGATGTTTATCTCTCCGCTTCAGAAATTCTTATCTATACAAACCTCCTGCTTATCTATAGCAAACCTCCTGCTTCTCACTTTGCAGAGTATGAAATGGAAGCTCAGGAAGGTGAGAGTGCTGAGGCCCAGGGTCCCAGTTGAAGGGTACCTTCCATTGAATTCTGTTCTCTACTCATTCACTGATTCATTACAGTACAATGAAGGGTTGACAAAAGAAGTGCGATCTTCACTGACTTGAAACATTACTTCCCCACAGAAAACAGAGACCTCTTTACAGGATTACCGAGGGAGATCATCTGTATTATTTTAATAAAGCAAAGACTGTACAATCGTGTGTGTACCCACTCACACATACATACTAAAGGCTACACTAGGTACTTTTGAACTGAGCATGTCTCCCGGGAGGTCTGTTCATCTGAAACCGGCTCTGGGTGCAGTCCTTGCTCCTCAGAGGACTGCCGCCCTAAACCCACAGGCAGTTTTGGGTTCCTTAATGTCATTCCTGACTGGATCCTCTCCACCCTCTGCTGAATGAGGACAGGACTGATCACAAACACGCTCTCTACCCAGTGCCAAGTCGACCTTCAAGGAGTCACTAAGCGGAGGTCACAGTTCCTTCCTTTTCTATGTGTTTTGTCTGACATACCTTCTAAAAAAATTGAACTCTATTTAAACACTGAACATGTTTATATGAAAAGTTAGATTTCAGACCTTATAAGAAAAACTGAGGAGGACTGTTAACACTATCTACCTCCCCACATGGCAGTGTAGGGTGTCTGGGCAGTGTCTACATTCTTTAAGCAGGGCACACTTCCTTCATTTGCCACATTTCCCGGCTGGCTCCTTCTACACTTCCGCCACCTGCCTGGCTGCTGTAAGCACGTGTGCGTTTGGCCCATGCCCAGCTTTCCTACCGCCAACCTGGGTTTGCCTGGCTGCGATGCCACCTTGGCCTCCGGGGCTGTGTCCGGAAGCAACCTGTGTATAGTTAGGCTCCCACCCCAGCCTCCAGTTCCTCCATAAAGAAAATGGTACCACTGTGCGATTTTCTTTTATTTTCTTATTCTTTCTGTGTCTTGTGAATTCTCCGCAGAAAATAGTAATTCATTTAAATCAGAAAAAAAGTTTTAAAATGCTCTTATGAAAAATGAAACTGCCTTATGTCTTTCCAGGGGCAGGGACTGGAGAGAGGCTTGCTGTATAATTGATGAGGCGATGGAGGAGGCCACTCTGTGATCTGTTATGAGTGACTTTCTTCTCTTGACTTCAGTTTCCCTATGTATCAAATAAGGAAATTGTACTAGATCAGAAGTTATAAACTGGTAACACACAGGACACATCCAGTAAATTGATGACTTTTCTTTTCTTTTCTTTTCTTTTCTTTTTTTCATTTCTTTCTTCTTTCTTTCTTTCTTTTTTCTTTCTTTCTTTCTTTCTTTCTTTCTTTCTTTCTTTCTTTCTTTCTTCTTTCTTTCTTTCTTTCCATTTAGATGAAATAGCTAAAAAGAATATTTCAACTACCAATCCAGTTTACAGAGTTTTCAGAACCGTTCAGCAGTAATCAATAATGGTCCAGGGTTCCTGCATGGCAACGATGGGGTACAGCTCACTCCAGTCTTCATGTACCACCTCCTCTTTGTACATTCTCAGCACTCGCTTTATTCACTGTGTCCCTGCTCGCCCCATGAGCATCTGCTCTTACTGCTAAATATGAGATGACCTCTGGAGACCCTCATTCCATGAGTAAAGCAAGGTGTCATGAGTTTCAGAGAAGACTTGGAGGAGAGGACAATGTTCTGAGCAAAAGATGACGCTGTATTGCTCCAGGAAATCTCAAGGAATTGCTCCTCTTCTTCACTAGGCCTGGAGTTGAAGTATCAAGACGTCCCTACTTTTGTGAGGGTCCCACGACACGGTTAAATCTGAAAAGGCAACGGCCTGGCTGTGAAAATTGCGAAATGTTCTTCCGTTGGGGTTGCTAGCTGATTCTCTAAGTAATTTGCAATTCAAGTGTCTCTTTGTTTTGTATGAAAATTTGCTGCTATTTGGAAAGTGGGGAAGAGCTAAATTGCATCCTGCTGGTTTTACTTTGACTGTATCAAAAAAGAAACTGTTAATCTGGTTCCATAATTAACTTGCCTGTTCTAAAAAGGCCCTGGGAGAGAGTCCAGAGAGCGGCTGTCAAGTCCCTGCTGCTCTACTCAATAACTCCTTTCAATAGGATGCCCTGGAAGAAGAACGGTTTCAGGTGGGGATTGGTCTTCATTTTCTTTTTCTGGTTTTTCTTTCCCTTAATCCCCACCCAGCCAACGTTTAGTGAGTGCCTGCCATGGGGAAAGCACTGTGCCGACTAGTTGGGGGTGTAGAGATGATACGTCCTTGTGGAGTTGCCAATGCACATAACCAAGTTGAATTTTCATCTATGCATCCATCCACCCACATAGTCAGCCAAAATGTGTTCGATTTCTGTATGATGCCAATACTGTGGAAGGCACTGTCATGTGAAAATATGAAAATGACTTAATCAGCATTCAAGAATTTTATAGTGAAGGAATATCTTCTGACATAAGGATTGGTTTCAGGGGAAAAAATGGCATTTAAATTGCCTTTGGCCCCTGTACTATTTGTGTGCATGCATGCATGCACTTATAGCTGCGGATGAAATGCTAGTGGTTTAGACCAACCAACACAAGCACAGGGATATAGCAGGAATTAAATCTGAAGATCCGGGGTAGACTACTTTTGCAGGAGCAGAGGGTTTCCACCGATACTAAAAGATAACTGATTTGAGCTCTGCTAAGCACTTTTCATCTGTTATTTCAATGAGACCTCATAGAGCTAAATTGAGTACAAGTTATTGAGTACAAGTTATAGATGGGAAACAGGCTCAAGTATGTTCCCGGGGAACAGGGTGGCAGAATAAAAGACAGGGCCGAGACCTGATTCTGTGTCTGATTTCAAAGCAAAGCTTTAATCACTAGGTAATTCTGCCCAGCGGGAATCAAAAGCTAAAGCGTTTGGGTTTCCATCAACCAACCAGTCAGTCCACTGATCAGTAATTTATTTATGCAAACATATATATTCTGAATACCCTCTGGAAAATAGTACTCTGTGAGTTAGGGATATAAAGGAAACAGGGTAAGCAAGGTACCTGTCTCCTTGAAGCTTAGGTTCCCAAAGCCCTACCCCAAGTACACGGAGAGAAGATGATGCCAGAGTTGATATTAAGTTGAACATCTAAGAAGAAAAAGGACTGCTAATTAGGTTAGCTTTCCTTAGATCCATCCAGATACTTTGGATGACACCCTAATTCCTTATTTTCTTCAAGGAGCATTTCTTACCTCTTTTTTCACTTTCCTCTGGAATTACTGCCTTTGATATGATATACCATTTTCCAATCCTATCCTCAACCTTAGAGAATCTATAAGGAATTCGTAGCTTGTAACCCATTCTACAAACCTGAGTAGTTTTTTCAGAGCTGCTCAGGTTGCTTCACATTCTAGCCTTATGGTTAGAGAAAGACCCTAGTCTTAACCCTGGGAAAACTTCACTCCACGCTTATCTGAGAAAACTACTTTGAGCATTCACCACATTTGGTTTGATACTAAGCCCTAGGAACATCCATAAGATATCTTTTGGGGGCCGGTATATCACGTACACCATACACCATGTATGAAGAGTGAGAAAAGGTACATTTTTTTCAGAGTTACAATGGGGCAGGGTTCCTGAGTGGTCTGGGTAATATGTATGTATCCAGAGTTAAATTTTCCCTGGGTTATATCACCTGTAAATTAGAAGGAAAGTTGTAACAGTATCTTAAGTTCACAGGACAGTAGGGGTGCTGAGAGAATCTCATACTCTCTGACCAAGGTAAGAAGAAAAATGGCTTTCCAAAGATGTTTATGCTTTACTCTCTGGGAACTATGAATATCTTACACACTGGAGAGTTGCAGATGGAATTAAGGTTACAGATCTTAAGATCGAGCATTCTGGATCATCCAGGTGGATACAATATGGCACATGAGTCCTCAGATGTGGGGAAGGAAGGCAGAAGGGATCATCAGAGACATGTGATGATGAAACAAGAGGAGAGATCTGAAGAGTGAGGACTACTTGATATACTGTTGCTGGATTAGGGATGAAGGAAGGGCCCCAAGACAAGGGCGTTGGAGAGCTGAGAACAGGCCTCAGCTGAAAGCCAGCAAGGAAACAGGATGTCTCAGTCCCACAGGGGCAAGGGACTAAATTCAACCAATAACCTGAATGAGGAAGGGAATAGATTTTCTCTTAGCGCTTTGGGAAGGAACATAGTTCTACCAACCTCTTGAGTCTAGACTAATGAGGCCCGTGTTGGCCGGCTGGATGGCTGGCCTGCTTGCCTGCCTACCTTCCTTCCTTTTTTACTGTTTTGAAAAAAATAATACATTTAGTTTTATACATTTTAATACATTTATTGAAGTCTAATTTACATCCAAGAATTGTTCTGTGTTTTTTTTTTTTCAGTTTTTACTCTTTATTAGTAGATATTTTCATTACATAATGGTTACATTCCTTATGGGGAATTGGTACTTATGCATAACACTGGACTTCTTAGAGCAAGATGAAAAAAGCAAAGCTGTATTGTTTAATCTGCTCAGTTTGTGGTCTGTGGTAATAAGAAGGAAATAATACTGTCTGTTGAGTGTACTTTCCTCCATTCTTAAATTCAGCTTATAACCAAGTGGAGCTTGAGAGCTGCCTATTTCACTAGAATGTGGTACAGCTGAACGTGACAAAAATTCCAAATTTTCTCTGATTAGGCATCTAAAGTCTTATTATCACTATTATTATTAATTTTAAATAAGTCTGGAGACATGCATTTTAGAGTTTTCCATTACTGTGAATGTGCAGTCATTAGGGCAACAACCCTCTGCTCTGCCACTTGCAAGGTTAGTTCTCATTCTTCTCATTGAAAATGACTCCAAGACTTCCAGCCATCTCATATAAATCCCAGTCAGCGGGGCAAGGAGAAGGAGTTTTATTTAAGAAGATATTCCAGTAGTTGCACTGCAATACTTTCATGTCTACTTCATTGGCTAAAACTTGCTCACACTGTCACATACAAATCTACAGAAATCTTAATCTGCTCAACCAAAATTTAGGAGTCTCTGAAACTGAACTCCTATTTCATATATAAATATATGCATATATAAAGAGAGGGAGAGAGAGAGACAGAGAGGGAGAGAGATCAACTTAAAATGGACTAAAGACTCAAATGTAAAACTCCAAACTGTGAAACAGCTTGAAGATAATGCAGGGGAAATTCTTCACAACACTGGCCTAGGTAAGGATGTCTTTTTAAACATGCGACCACACAAAACAAGCAACAAAAGTAAAAATAGATGAATGGAATTTTATCATATGTAAGAAATAATCATACATAATCTTTATCAAAGAGATTTTGCTCAGTAAAGAAGACAAGCATCTGATGAAAGATACTATTTATAGAAGAAAATATTTTCAAACTACATAACTGATAAGGAGTTAGTAAACAGAAGAGATAAGGAATTTAAATAACTGAACAGAAATACAAAATAAAATAACAATTAAAAAATGGGCAAAAGACTTTAATAGATATCCAAAAAGCCAACAAGTAAGTGAAAAAATACTAGTATGACTAATCAGAAGAGAAATGCAAAGCAAAACAACACCAAAATGCTACCTCATTCCAGTTAGAATGCTTACTATTAAAAAGACAAAAGAAAAGAAGTATTAATCAAGGGAAAAAAGGGGACCCTTATATACTATACGTGGGCATGTAAATTAGTGTCTCCATTATGGAAAAGAGTGTGGATGCTTTCTAAAAATCTAAAACTAGAACTACTGTACAACCCATTAGTCCCAATACTTAACATATATTCAAAAGAAATGAAATTAGTACATCAAGGAGACTTTTATACTCATGTTTATCACAGCCCTACTCATAATAGCCAAGTTGGGTTTAACCTAAATGGTCAAAAATAGATGAAGGGATAAAGAAACTAAGGTACATGTCTGCACTGGAACAATATTCGGCCATAAAAATGAATCCATGGAGGAACCGGGAAGACATTATGTTAAGTGATATAAGCCAGTCCCAGAAAGACACACCCTTTGTGACTGTATTCACATGCAGAATCTAAAAAAAAAAAAAAAACTCATAAAAGTAAAAAGTAGTGTTTCTGTTTTAGTATTTAGATCTTTGATCCATTTGAATTAAAAACATCATACCACAGAAATACATGTGCACCCATGTTTATAAGCAGCACAATTTATTACAGCTAAATCTTGGAAACAATCCAATGCCCATCAAATGAGGAATGGATAAAAAAGATATGGTATTTTTATATAATGGACTATTACTCATCTATAAAGAAGGATAAACTGGAGGCTTGTATAGGTAAATGGATTCAACTAGAGACCATACTTATAAGTGAAATAAATCAAACTCACATGGGTAAACATCATATTGTCACCCTAGAAACTGAAAAAGTAAATAAGATCCCAAATCTACAAGAGTGAAAGGGAAAGAAACTGCTCAAAAGAAAGAATAACTGAGATGAATGAAAGGAGAAAAGAAAGAAGGGAAAAGAAAAAAAATATATATCATAGATAAGATAGTTATACTACTGATTTCTTTTAGTTCATTGAAAAATACTGTTTGTACTTATATTGCTTGATCAATTTTGCATGCCTGCATCTTATAATCTGAGCATCTACTTTGAAGATAACAATATGCAATATATTGACCATTGTTAATCTCCTATTACCTTGTTTTGAAATTCTGTATTATTGCTTTTTTTCTCTTTAAAGTAAAAAAATAAAAAAGAAGTAAGGAGTAGAGCAGTGTTTACGGGGGGGTGGATAGAGAAGGGGAAGGTAGAGAGAGGGTTGTCAATGGCATCAAGAAGCAAGGAAATCCTTCCTTATAAGGAAATAGGAGGATTAAGATCGATGCTTTATGTCAAGGTCAGTGCAGTTAACACTATGGTACTGAATATTTCAAAATAGTTAGAAAGGAGCATTTTGAACATCCTTATCACAAATAGTAAATGCATGACATGATAATATACTAACTACTCTGATTTGATCAATATATGATGTATACATACATCAAAACATTAAATCATATACAACCAACATCTGCAATTATAAAGTTTCAAAAAAGTGTTAGGGTTACTCCTCTTTTTTCTGAGGCAGGTTCTCACTAAGTTGTTCAGGCTGGCCTTG